GCCGCCAAACCCGTCCGCCCCGTATCTTTTTCCGCCCCCCCCTTTCGACCTCCACCGTGATCTCTCCATAACCACCCGTGCCCATCATGGATGGGGATCTCAGCCTGTCCCAATCCTTGGGAGGTCTACGGATTGCAAACCCGGATGATTCGTCGTTACATTCGTCCGAGGATGCGACCACTCCCGCCCCGACTGCTGCTTCTGAACCACCAGCAGATTCCGAACCAACGCGCGAATCGACTCGGTCCGAACAACTAGACAATCCTCTGTCGACAACACCACCCCAGCCATCAATACCGCCCTCCGCGGAATATCCTCACGATGCCCCGGCTATAACTGAGCCGTTGGCTAAGCCAGTTGAGAATCGAAGTTCCACATATCTTCCTCAGACCGATTCACCGCAGCCTGCCCAGCAAACTCCCGCCTATATCTCCCAACAACCATACCCTCAATCTTCACAACAGAACCGTTCTTTGGGCTCCTCTCGCCCTTTGTCGGGCCTCTACGCATATGCGAATGGGTCTACGTCGACATTAGCGGCCCGGGAGGGTTCCTATCGGATTCGTACTGATTCCGCCGCATCGTCCGCCTCCGAAAGCCAGGCCCGGGCGGAATCCCGTGGTGGTTCTGCAGCTTACCAGGCAGGGGTTCCGGTACGCGATAATAGCCACAGTGATCGGTCGTATAGAACAGCGCAGCTACCGATGGGCAATGGGCCCATGGTGATGCGCCAACCGTCCCGTGCTCGTGCGCGTCCCTCAGGGGCTCCACAACTCGCCGGGCCCCGTATGCGGTGGAAAATGGCCAATCCTCGAACGGCGAGGACTGGAATGACCGAGGGGCCGCGGTGGCAGTCAGGCAAGAGATTGATGCCAACGGGAAGCCCGTTGCTCGGTACATCAAAAAGGGAGTTCGCGACTTTTCGTTCGGCAGCACCCTGGGAGAAGGCTCATACAGCACTGTTGTACTCGGGACAGATCGTCAAACGCTCAAGGAATACGCCATCAAGATCTTGGATAAAAGGCATATCATCAAAGAGAAGAAGGTGAAATATGTGAATATCGAGAAGGATACCCTCAACCGGCTTACTGAACATCCCGGTATCGTCCGACTCTATTATACCTTCCAAGATGAACGCTCGCTATATTTTGTGTTGGATCTTTGCAAGGGTGGTGAGTTGTTGGGGGTGTTGAAACGCATGACCACTTTTGACGAAGAGTGCACGAGGTTCTACGGGGCTCAGATTTTAGACACTATAGACTACATGCATAAGCGTGGCGTTATCCATCGCGATCTGAAGCCGGAGAACGTTCTCCTTGACAGCCAGATGCACATCAAAATAACCGATTTCGGCACGGCAAAGATTCTCAAGAGCCAGCGCAAACCAGACTCGAGCACGAGTGGGATGCCGCCATTGGACTCAACAGACATCCCTGAAGAAGAGCGGGCAAGCTCCTTTGTTGGTACGGCTGAGTATGTCAGCCCCGAACTATTAACAGACAAGAACGCGTGCAAGGCAAGTGACCTGTGGGCATTTGGCTGCATCATCTATCAACTCTTGGCTGGTCGCCCTCCATTCAAAGCAGCGAACGAATACCTTACTTTCCAAAAGATCGTTGGACTCGAGTATGAGTTTCCTCTCGGTTTCCCTGATGTTGCTCGTGACCTCGTCGAGCGTCTCCTTGTATTGGACCCAACTCGTCGGCTGCCAATCGAACACATCAAGAACCACGAGTTTTTCCGGGGCATGACATGGGGCCCAGACTTGTGGAAACAAAAAGCGCCCCGTCTCAAAGCTTATGTTCCTCCACCCCGCGAGCCGATCAAATTGAACGGAGCTGGGGAAGGGGACGCCTTTTCTGCGGGTATCAATGCAGGACCATCAAGTACCAACAGCGCCAATCCTAGAGTTGTCCCTAGACTTGTCACGGAATTGCCCCCTCCAAGCCAGCTCGACATTGAATGGTCGCCCGTGCTTACTAAAAGCAATGAAAGGATATTAAAACTGGGAAACCTCCTGGTACTGTCTTCGCCAGCTGTGCATAGTCCTTCCACCAAGAGTGGGGGTGGCGAGAGCGAAGCGCCGAAAAAGTTCGCGCGCTTCTTCGGGGGAAGCACAACAAAGAAGCGGCAGCGGCTGGTCATGGTCACCTCCTCTGCACGTATTATTATGGCCGCGGCTGGTGGAGATGAGAAAAAGGCAAAGCTGGAGATTTCCCTGCTATCTCCAGGAACACACTGGCGCTCCTCAACGGATTCGAAAGGGCTCCCTTGCTGGGTCGTTGACACGGTATGTTTATCTTTGCATGTGACATAGGCGAACTAATGCTAATCTGCGTGTGTAGCGTGATAAACATTACGTTTTCGAAGACCCTAAACCATCATCTAGCAACTCTGGTGCGAATGCTGCCAATGCGCAGGAATGGGTGGATTCGTTGGATCGTGCACGAGAGATGGCTTTGACTCAGCAAGCGAATGGGACATACTCGGCCGACGAGGCTTTCCGCGACATATCGTCGGAGCTGTCGAGCCACGCCAACACATTGGACCGCAACTCTGAGGTTCACCACGAGAACCCACCTGGACGAGCCACTCTAGTTAAACATCAGCCTGCAGATTCGGATTCCGTCAAAGGAAAGAAAAGGTTCAGTAGAAGGCATTCAAAGAATGGCCTGGCAGCTGTTTTCTAGACGACGTGCTCGCCAGAACTTATACAAGGCCTTCCTCGGCGACGGCCACAGGTACAATCTTTTCAACCATTGTCCGAGCATGACATTTATCTAACATCTCTCCCGCGCTTGACATCGGGGTTGGTTACTGCGCAGGATCGCAATTTTAACTTTTCTTTCTCTGGTCCCGGACTATCACACAGTTTCTTTGCTTCTTCCTGATGTCTCCGGGGTGATGTGACTTGCATACTTTCTATTGTTGACAGGTCTTGGAGTATCCTTGATATGGACCCTCAACCAACCACTATTATTTCCTTTGTCGTGCATTTGTAGCAATTTCCTTTTGTGACGTGATTTTCCATTTTGCCTTGCATCTTTGCAATGATGAGCGTTTTTCTTTTCTTAAGATCGCTGCATTTAGATGGGCAGGAGTACGCATATATCCCTCATCTGGCATCTACTTTTTTTTCTCGATTTGTATTGCAGTGCTTCCTCTTCTATTCACCTTCTCCCTTCCTTTTTTCTAACATCATTCTCTCCTCTACATATTGAGATATATATCTTCGCTTGGTCGAAACAGACGATCCACAGAGTCTTGTCGGATAACGCTTTGCCGGTGTACAGAGTTCAATACAGAAAACAGTCAGGATAGCCCCCCTTTTCCGGCTCCGACAGATCTTGATCTACCCGTTCCTGCTTCAGGTTCCGTTTGCTATTATACCATTCGGTTTGTTCCACTGAGCGGATTTTTCTTTTCTTTTTGTGTTTTCTTTCCATAGGAGCTGAATTGATTCCCCTACTATGCGTCTCTCTCCACCCTGCCAGATTCCCCCCGTCTCCATGTTCCCTTCGTTCTGCTCGATTTCACCCATATGCATTTTTTTTCCCGTTCTTGTTAAATAACTTTCCTCTTCAATGGTACTTGATATAGTCGAATTGAAATCTTCCATTCTGGTTGGAGATCTCGTGGCCTGCTACTTGGACTTGCTTCTATATATCTCTGGGATTGCTTGGGAAAAAAAAATCATTTGTGCAGATTATGATGTTATATTCCAAATTTGTATTTCTTTCAGACCGAAAAAGGGGATATCTAACAAACAAATTATATTCAATATGTACATCCGTAACATCATACTCATGATAAAAGGGCATTAAATATACTGTATACATAGAATCATATGAATAACCAATCGATCCTCGAATCGTCCAGTTCCTGGATCCAGTCGAAATCGTCCCCATCATCATGAACAAAGGACCCAAAGAGGTTATTATCTTGCTGTTGTTGTTGTTGTTGTTGTTGTTGCTGCTGCTGAGCCCGTTTCGAGTCCCGCTTCTGCCACATCAGACTTAGGACCCAGGCTGCGTTGCGGACGTTCACGGATGTGACGTCGTAGTAGATGGCGCTGAGGGTCTGGAGGAGGATGGGCCGGAGGGAAGGATCGGTGCATTCTGCGCCGGCGATGAAGGTCGGCCAGATGAGACATTTGAAGTGGTCTCTGC